TTACTAGACATCATAATATTTTATTCCAAAGTTTTTTCTTTTAATGCACTTGGTGCAATTCGCTCTTCTTTATTGCATTCATTTCCGGTCCACACCCACTATTGCACAACACTACTCAGGCGCTCTTACTTTGGGTGCAATTACTTCCGGTGCATTTACAACTGGTGCAATTACCGCCGGTGCACTTACAACTGGTGCAATTACTTCCGGTGCACTTAAAACTGGTTCACTTCTGGTACAATTATTTCCGGTGCACTTTTCGCCAATGCACTATACCTAATTCTGGTGTAATAGCTAATAACTCGCTGCTTGATATACTCTCTTATTGTTGGTCGCCTAGATCTAGTTAATCAAATCTGTCAGTGAAAGAGACATCATACTTTAATTACTTACTTAAGTAGTCACCTTGCAAATTTTTCAAATTTCTCTGGTTATTATTAATCCACTTGATTAATAAATACGTTCACAACAATTATTGAAGTCACTCATTTCGATAAGTTTCAACAAAAACTTGCACTATGCTAGTTATTGTCTCTGATTCTATCTGTTGATATCTCAATTCAGATTCTGATAATCCATCCAGATAATTTATGTCTCTCGGAAGTTCATTCCCTCTGTTGTTTTATGTAATAATTTTTATATTGTCTTGTGCAATGCTCATAACATCTTGATTTATATCTATTATTGCACTCGGTTTTGTTTAATTTAGTCTGCATTCTTCAATTTTTATCATATTATTTAATGGAAGTTTGATTCATTTTGTAAACATTTGATAGGTGTTGAATATGGAAGATTTTATGGTATTTTTATAGCTTAATTTACGATTCAATGAATGTCGGTTGAATGAGCTTTTGGGCATGATATGAGCTTTCAGGATTAGTATCTTACTATTTTTTCGATGGTTCGGATCCTCTTTAAAGCATCCATTAATGTCGCTATCTTTCATTTTATCTTTGACTTTTATATTCACCATTTTTAAATCATTTGATTCTAACTGAATTATTCATTTATTGCCATGTTCTTGACAATTATGACAAACCATGATTTTAAAAAATTAATAACATGTCTTATGCGAAGTAATAGAACGTGACGATATAAGTCATATTTTTATCTGTACTTTAACTTTTAATTTTTGCTAACAATTTTAATATTGAAATTTTTAATTAGACGTTTTTAACCCATTGTATGGGAATCACTGCTGCGGACGTGACTGTAGTAAGATACTTCCAAATTGATATTTTTTACTGTAAATCATAGGGCGCGTAAAATAATAGTATCCCTTTTGAATGCTGTTTATTGTGCATATAT